GAAGGAAGGAAGGAAGGAAGGAAGGAAGGAAGGAAGGAAGGAAGGAAGGAAGGAAGGAAGGAAGGAAGGAAGGAAGGAAGGAAGGAAGGAAGGAAAATGATTCTAAGTCATGAACTGTTAGCAGATGAAAAAGCTGATCAGAAAATGTTCCCAAGAAGTACAGGTAAAGACTGACAAAAGGAACGAACCTTATGTTTTTAAAATATGAAAGCCACAAGATACCTGCCATTCTTGTCCACTGATTTTTGGTAARACAGGAAAAATCAGCTACTCGTTACAAGGAAAATTAACCTGACAAAATGAAAGGATTAGCCCTGAACAATATAATGAGAGGATCCATTTCTTTAGTTGCTGATTTAATTAGCTCCAGTTCAGTCATCATTACACACACCACACAYATATAGCTGTAAACTGCTAGACTGGGAAAAGATTGCTCTTGACAGCACCGCTATAAACCAAAATTTATTTTCTCTAAGCACTGAAAAAGGTCTTTTTTTTCARTGCAGCAATCCTATAGCAAATATTTATATTATAATACTTAGATATATGCTGCCTTCAACAGCTGTTAAACTGTCTACAAACTTACTCTTGCCTGCAAACAGCAATGTCCTTCTCATTATAAACTAATTCAAAGCTTGGCCAGCTGCTCACACCTTTGTTATTTGTGCCTGAGGTGCCTTTCGATGCCTTTTTTTTTTTTTTTTTTTTTTGCTTTGTTTTTTAATATAAAACTTACCAAGCAGAGCTTGTGAGTTTACAGCCCTTCTTCGTGTGAAATGTGCTCCAGGAAGATCTCTTGCCATGACGGAGACAGTGAACAGCAGAGTGGATCCCAACAGCAGAGAGAGGCATGCAGTCATTTTCTTCATTTTCAACAAAGAGGGGRACATTCAAGGATGCAAAACTGCAATAAAGGAAAATAAAAGATAAGCTCTTTGATTAGACAAGAAGATACATGGTGTGGCCATCTGGTTGTGTTGCCTCCTTCCCATCACATACAAACATGAAGTTGTACTGTCATGGAATAACACTTACACCTTCAAGAAAGAAATTCTACACCACAGAGTAGCGGTTAGGAGACCCTTCAAAGTCTTTATGTATATTGATAGTCAAATTCATAGTTAACATTTTAAATAAATCAACACTTATAGTCATTCAGAAGAATAAAGTATAGGGAAAGTGAGAAAAGGAACTCTTTTTTTCAGTGAGCCTCTCAGCATAAACAGATTTGAGGAGGACACAAACATATTTTCATTATTCTACTCAGCACTCTGTTGTGCATTTTTTTCAGAAGCTTAATGATCCTAGCAGTCTAGGAGATGCTTTCTTCACAAAATTTTGGAGAAGAAAACAAGGGAGAAGTGAATACGCTCCAGAGCTGCAACTAGTGCAGTGTGAACTGGCAGCTGCTCACGGTTCATAATCCAGAAGAGTGTCCATGGTTGCTAATTACGGAGATAACAGTGCAAGATGAAAAGATCTTCTATGGTCAAACAGAAGATTGGCAATGAACATAACCTAACCATAGGTTAAGGAGAAATTTTGTCAAGAGAGGGAAAAAAAATAACTGGCAAGGTTCGTAGGCCAAGAGATGATCCATGTCAAGAAGTTTGTTGAGTCCCCATGGAAAGCCATGGCWGACTGTCTACAAGCAGAAAGCTGCCACAGACATGCTAAATGCTCATCTCTGACCAAATTCCCTGTTGGTGGGATGCCCAGGTGGCTATTCCTTCTGCCTTCCTCCAAAATTTCACTGGGTCATGTCTTCACGAGCAATGAAGAGGAACTAGGTTCAACCTTGAAATTGGTGATACGATGAATCYGAGTCCAGGGCTCTCATAGGTGTGCAAAAAGATGGGTAAAACTACCCACCTGCACAACAAAAAGGAATGTTCCATATGAAAAAGAGTGGCGACTTCACAAGCAGTGCACATTTTAACCAGGATGTTGAAAGCAATTTTAATCCAGGAGTCTAAAACCTGATAGGTAGATTTACRCAAGGCCCCATAGCTCTCACAGAAAACAACTAAATGCTCCAGCTCTAGAAGAAAATTGAATTTTTCTTTTCCACTATAAGGTGCTCAATTGTCCGAAAACTAGATTCTTAGTAAATCTAATCTAATAAAGGATTTTTTATACATTATTCTTAATTCCATTCAGTAAATTACTAAATGTTGTTTTCTCTATGTCTATCTTTTTGTATATCCTATGCAGCATTTCCAAGTTTAAACATAATATTCTGGCGTTTATGCCATGGAGCAAATCGGACTGAAGTCTTTATAATCCAAATGCTCAGCCTTGCTTAAATCTTCAGCATAATTCAGTAAAAAGGCAATATGYGATTTAAGAGCATTCAAATTAGGGAAGAGATTTATGGAAGTAGTTGATACTTAGAATAGTGGCCAGAATTCAGCAAACTTTGGGAATCCGAGCAACATGGACACCTGGACAGTGTTGTAGGCAATGTTTCCAGTGCTCGAGTCCCACACAGATGGGCACTGCAGACAACACACCACCAAAAACGGGACAGCCTTTCCCTGAAGGCAGAAGTTGTTACTGCTGGAGTCTGTTCCCAGGGTTTTCCACCTGGGACATGAGCAACAAACTCCGAGCTCTGCAACAGGCTCTGCCTTCTCTCTGGCCTGCTCCTTGCAGAGGAGGCAAACGGGCCTCTGCATAAGTGTTGGCTCTAAAACTAGCGTTTTAGAAGTGCAGAAGCCACACTCAGAGAACTGAGGAGTTTAAGTATTTTCATGCACACAGAAAGTTTCTGTACGGCTCTCCTGAGGTGGGGACAGGCTGGCCTTGCACACTTCGCTCTAGCCCCAGGTACAGAGAGGTGTCTTCTGCTCCTTGCATTTGTAAAAAGCCAGCTTGCATTTTGGCTATGGGGCTTCGACACCGTCCTCCCACAAGTCCTTTTTTATTTTCTGGATCTTCTGCAAGGTTCCCTGTCTTCATTCTGACAACTGGCTGATGTTTATTGCACCACATTTGGTATTTAACACCTCATTTTCCTAGCAGGGTAAGCCAGGCTCTTGGCACCGCTCCTTGTGGCTGTGCATTGCTGGCTCACCCTCACTCTATCAAGAAGAAGATGTGTTCCCAAAGTACCAGAGTTATAAACAAATATTTTAGTGGATATCTGGTGAACATATTTCAAACACTTCAATTCCAGCTGTCACAGCAGGAGTATTCATCATTAAACCACCAGAAGCCAATTCACCCGGGCAGACCCATGACCGAGTTTCATGATGAACATCTCAAATGCTTCAGGAGCAAAGGACACCCACAGGAGATGTTGGCACCACACAAGAGCACAGTGCCAGATGAAGCTCCCCTGGCTGCAGTTCTACATTTAATTAGTCATGGAAAGAAGATGAGGAGGAAAATCCCATGCAGGGATTTTATGGCAAACTGGAGGAAGGAARCACTGCCTGGTGTTCTGCTGGACACGCTGGGAGAATCCTAAAAGACGTGTCCAAGCAGCTGCTGCCTCCAGCCATGCAACCTGGTCAGGACTGCCTGCAATATCCACAGCCATCCTGAAGGCCTCATCCTTCAGGATGAGCCTTCAGGAAAGAGAAGAATTCTGAATATCAATATTATTTTAATGTAACATTTTATAACGAAATATATTAATAGAATATTAAATGGATATATCGATTGTCTTGTTCTTTTCAGGCTTCTCTTGCTTCCCCAACTGCTATTCAAGGAGAAAAATCACAATACACTAAACTATATAGACAAATACTAACACCTATATCCACACAATCAAATGATTTTTTGATGCACTGCAAGGGATTTTCAATTTTCAGGAACTGCAGTTTAAGAATATTCAAAAACAGAACTGTGACTTTATCTTTAAAATATATATTTCCTTCACTGGACAACATTTACCCACATTAAAAGTCATTAAAAGTCAAGAGAAGTCTGTTCTATCCTTTCAAATATCTTTTCCCAAAAGTCTTCATATAAGGGCTTGTGTTTGGCTGTTCTAGACAGGTAAATACTGAATATTCAGCATCAGTGGTRACAAATTAATGACCTTCTTCACAGCACGATGCATATTATTCAGATTTGTCCTCGTTCATGTTACAGCTTTCAAACAATGGCAGGGGAGAGATGATGTGCTGCACCAGTGTCCTCCTGGATCTCACCTCCCTTCTGGTCTGTAGGAAATCTAGCTACACAGTCAAGTTAGGCCTTGCTATTTCATTTCTGAAATTCATTACAGTTCTCTGTTTTCATGATCGTTTTGCATAAAACACTTGAAAATCATAAGCACTTAGAACAATTTTCTTTCACGTAGAATTGGGAAACCCTTTCTCTGGCCTGGGATGCCACCACTTTTTCATTCAGATACCCTGAAAATGTACCTGTCTTTTCTGGGCATTTCATACTGAAAAAAAAACTGGGAAATGAGGGCTGCAAATACTCCAGCTTACATCTGCCACCCTACTGGATGATCTCCTTTGTAAACTTACCATGCAAATTCCTTTTCAAGTGCTGAATTTGACCCACAAACTCTATGGGCCCCAGCCACCCCACCTTCCCCAGGTGCCACCAAACCTGGCAGAAAGCACCGAGTTCACCTAGTAACTAGAGACAACATCTCTTCTCTCCGACCTTATCCAGTTTCTCATCCTAAACGGGAAGGAAAACAGTGTAGAGGCTGCCTTCACTTTTCCTCATTTGACGGCTAAAACATATTCACTTCCTGCAAGCTGCCAGCAAATCTAACTTTGAAGTTCTTAAATTATAAGGATCGCAAATGTATACAAAGGAAAACATTCCAGAGTTCTTCCAGCACTCCTCATTATCCACGCATTTTTAAGATAACAGAAAACTGCAATTAAACCCAAAGAACTGAAGTTAAAGAAACTGGACATGATCTATGTAAGCCAATGAAATCACAGCCCACGTCCCCACAAGAGCAAGCACAGTCAGTTACATTTAAGCTGGTGCCTACTTTGGAAAACCAACCAGCTCTTACTATGCTCAAGCTACAAAATATCCTATTCTCAATCCCACCACCTCAAAAGATTTAAAAAAAAATAAAGACAGCAGGCATTTTAAAGCCTTGTTAATTATCAGAAGATGTGCCAAAGTATTTTACTATCCACAAGCCAATACACGCATTACTAATCTCTTACTCATGAAAACCACTGTGTGTGGCAGGAGCATCAGGACATGGAGTAATGATAATTTCATCTCTCTCTCTGTGGTGCAGATTGCTGATGGAGGCGTTTTCCAGTTCTGAATAAATGACTGTGGAGTCCATCTCAGCCCCGAATCTGTTCTACTTGAAAACATCTGCTCCTAGCTCTGCAGGTGTTACGTGAAGGCAGCAAGCCACAGTTGGAAGGATGATATTTAGAGCTTTAACATGAAGCACCATCTTGCCATTATTCTTTCAGAAGACCATTCTACTGGTATCCCATTACCACCGAAAGATAGMTGGATTCTGCAGGGCTTCATTAGGTTCAACACAAGAGAACAGGTAGAACTCCCCTCAAATCATGGTTATCAAATGCACCTCATTGATAYRGTCAAATCATGATCAGGGAACGAGATTGCAGGTGTTTCAAGCAGGTAAATTCCTCATCTCCTCCAAACGTTGCGGGTAGGCATGGTGTGCAGAGATATGCATGAAGCTACTCTTCATCAGTCTAAAATAATGATTTCCTAGAAAGTTAGTTAGTAGGAGTAACCCAAATCTGCAGTAGRTTTAGGACCAGAAGTTGCATACTCAGACACAAGAAGACTGAGACTAACTCTTGGCCTGGGTGCATGAAGGTCTATGTTCTTTCTGCATGGAAGTTCTGTGACCACAGGTTGCTGATTTGTGTCCACAAAGGGGCTCAATTCCAGCACTCGACAGCAATTTGAC